GAAATTCATGGCATACGTGGTATTCACAAACCGCCTTACTTCTTTATTCTTTCATTATTTTTTTTTCACTTTATCTGTCAGCTCCATTGCTTTCCAGCTGTTTTTTCTCCAAGCAGTAGTATTCAAATAGCAACACTGCAAATAAGATAATTTTTAAGTCATCATCCTTCAGAAAGCTAAATTAGCTAAAAGCTAAAAAGTTGAATTTATATGAGAAAAGGAAAACCTTGTAGGAGTTCCTGAGCCTGGAGCAGACGGAGGGAGCCCAGCTTCTCACAGAGCTGCTAAACCCTGCATAAATCTCTGCCGGCACCTCTGGTTTATTCTGTAACTCCCTGGGAATCTCTGTGTTTGCAAATCCAGCACAGGTCCCTCCTGGGCTGGGATGCAGGAGTCCTTCTCATGCCGAGGAACCTTCACCTGCAGAGCAGCGACCCTATGGGAAGGGCAGGGGTCCCGTGGGAGAGGGAGGGGGGCGCATGGGGTCCCACATGGGCCGTGTGCCCCCGGCATCGCTCCAGCCCCTCGCTGTGCTGCGATCGGTTTTGCTTTGGGCCCCCATGGCCAGTGTGTGCCAAAGAGGAGACAAATGCCCAGGAATGCTGCTGTAGACCCCTCTTGCCACATGTCTGCAGACGTCTCCATACACATCTTGCTCAATCAAATTGCCTTTTTTACCCTGTTTTTACCAGCAGAGTCACCCTGTGTGGCCAGAGGCAGGTTTGCTCTCGGCAGTGGTGAGGAGGGATTAGGTGTTCGCTTCCAAACAGCCCCGGGATGAGGGGGGTCCCTGCTCTCTAAAGTGCTGAATGAATTCATCACACCCCTCAAATATGCGTTAGTGGCTAAAGCCTGGCTCTGGAGCTGCGAGATTTGGCTCCTACTCATCGCTGTGTTGCAGCCTTGCTGTGCACCTACCCTCCTCCTGGGACCCTCGGCCAGCCCAGCCAGCCCCTGGCATCATCCTGCTCCCGTTGTGCTGAGCCTGTGCCAGCTCCTATTCCCAGGAGCAATGGCAGGAGGACACCAAGCGTGACATAGTGGTGGAAATGGGGTGCTAACTTGAATTGTGGTTAAAAACTGCTGCTTTTGTGCCTGGGAGTGCTGGGGTCAGGTCCCAGCAGGGTGAGAAGCCTCCTGTGTCCGCCCTGGCTCCCACGGGCACCCAGGGGTGCACGGACACTCATGAGCTTCCACACGTGGTTTGCTTGGTGGCCAGTGGCAGGGGCTGGACCTTTGCTGGCTTTTGCTTATTTAGTAGAAAACCAGCTGCCTTTGGCATCCCTTTGTCCTGCCTCCAATGCTCTTTTACATTTATCTTTCAGCATCGGAGATGGCTTAGCAAAGTCCCCATCTTCTTGCAATGGGGATGCAGGGGGGAGACACGCTTAAAAGTAAAACTGGGTTGGTTGAGAAACAGATTTGCAGCCTGGGGGTTGGGGTTTTGCTGTGTGGAAGTTCTCTGATGTCTGATTAGGATTGAGTCCACTCTGGAGTCTCTGAAGCACAGTTTTGCTCTGTGCCACCCAAAATCCGGCTTCTGCTAGGATGGTCGGAACTTGCTAATATTGCAGAGATGCCTAGATGTCGATCAGATTTGGCCCAAACTGACGGATGTGCCAAGGACTCATTAGGGGGAATGGATGAACAGGATGGTAGGCACACAAAGATCCCCTTTCCAGGCTGCAAGCGAGGTCACTAGCAATCCCTCCCTGCACATCTGCAGCAGTGATGGGCAGTATCTTGTCCATGCTGGTACACCCTGGCAGCCCCAGGGAAATCCATGGAGCTGTTCCGGGCTTGCTCCTGCCCCTTCCCATGGCAGCACCAGTCTCAGCAGCAGAAATTCAGAAGAAGATGGGACAACGTGTCTGCCAGGCAAACAAGTGGCCGGGTTCCCAGTCAGAAGGACAGTGCTGCTGAAAGCACAACTCCGTCAATCCCAACGCCCTGGAACAGGATTTTGTTATTTCGGGTGGAGAAGCAAATATTCACAGCTGTGTTTATTCCCTGCCCATGGAAGCACCAGGGACTTGTCAGCAAACTGTTGGGCATGGGCACCCTACCTCGAAGTGCCACCCACACTCTCGCAGCCCCGGGCCCAGGAGGAGCTCAAGCCTTGGCTCTCGCTGTGCAGCTTGCCCTTCGAGCGTGCAATCTAATGAAGGAGCTAATGGAGAAGGTGGCTGGGCTATTTTTTACTGTATTTTTCTGCTAGAAAGTGGCAGGCTGTGTTGCAGCCTTGCTGTGCACCTACCCTCCTCCTGGGACCCTCGGCCAGCCCAGCCAGCCCCTGGCATCATCCTGCTCCCGTTGTGCTGAGCCTGTGCCAGCTCCTATTCCCAGGAGCAATGGCAGGAGGACACCAAGCGTGACATAGTGGTGGAAATGGGGTGCTAACTTGAATTGTGGTTAAAAACTGCTGCTTTTGTGCCTGGGAGTGCTGGGGTCAGGTCCCAGCAGGGTGAGAAGCCTCCTGTGTCCGCCCTGGCTCCCACGGGCACCCAGGGGTGCACGGACACTCATGAGCTTCCACACGTGGTTTGCTTGGTGGCCAGTGGCAGGGGCTGGACCTTTGCTGGCTTTTGCTTATTTAGTAGAAAACCAGCTGCCTTTGGCATCCCTTTGTCCTGCCTCCAATGCTCTTTTACATTTATCTTTCAGCATCGGAGATGGCTTAGCAAAGTCCCCATCTTCTTGCAATGGGGATGCAGGGGGGAGACACGCTTAAAAGTAAAACTGGGTTGGTTGAGAAACAGATTTGCAGCCTGGGGGTTGGGGTTTTGCTGTGTGGAAGTTCTCTGATGTCTGATTAGGATTGAGTCCACTCTGGAGTCTCTGAAGCACAGTTTTGCTCTGTGCCACCCAAAATCCTGCTTCTGCTAGGATGGTCGGAACTTGCTAATATTGCAGAGATGCCTAGATGTCGATCAGATTTGGCCCAAACTGACGGATGTGCCAAGGACTCATTAGGGGGAATGGATGAACAGGATGGTAGGCACACAAAGATCCCCTTTCCAGGCTGCAAGCGAGGTCACTAGCAATCCCTCCCTGCACATCTGCAGCAGTGATGGGCAGTATCTTGTCCATGCTGGTACACCCTGGCAGCCCCAGGGAAATCCATGGAGCTGTTCCGGGCTTGCTCCTGCCCCTTCCCATGGCAGCACCAGTCTCAGCAGCAGAAATTCAGAAGAAGATGGGACAACGTGTCTGCCAGGCAAACAAGTGGCCGGGTTCCCAGTCAGAAGGACAGTGCTGCTGAAAGCACAACTCCGTCAATCCCAACGCCCTGGAACAGGATTTTGTTATTTCGGGTGGAGAAGCAAATATTCACAGCTGTGTTTATTCCCTGCCCATGGAAGCACCAGGGACTTGTCAGCAAACTGTTGGGCATGGGCACCCTACCTCGAAGTGCCACCCACACTCTCGCAGCCCCGGGCCCAGGAGGAGCTCAAGCCTTGGCTCTCGCTGTGCAGCTTGCCCTTCGAGCGTGCAATCTAATGAAGGAGCTAATGGAGAAGGTGGCTGGGCTATTTTTTACTGTATTTTTCTGCTAGAAAGTGGCAGGTGCTCCCATGCACAGTGGAGATGTGGGGCTTGATGGCCCCAAGCTCTGTCCATACCTGGGGGGCTCCCAACGTGAGGTTTGGGCTGGATTTGGTCAAACATGGCTAGCCCATGGATCCAGTCCCTGGGAGTGCTCGTGCACCATGTGGGCTTTCTTCAGTGCATCTTTAAAGACTGCACCAAACGAATAAGCTGCTACTCTCCATCTGAGCTCGGTATTGGGAGGAGGAAAGTAACCCTCTTGGTGGAAGACAAATGCTGTCATCCCTGGGTTTTCCCTCTTTCCCCTGTCCTGTTATGTGCACCTTTGAGTGATGGCACCTTGGATTTGGGCTTCCTGCAAAGACCCGAGCTCCCCTCAGCCCTCCCAGGCTCTATTTTTGCAGCCAGCCTGCCCTCAGCCCACCACAGGGCTTGCAGCTCTGCTCCTCTCGGGGATGGCGTGTCACGGCACCTGGGATTTGTAGTCCATCTTCTTGAGATGCCTCTGAATCCCTTCTGCTCTTTCCACCAAGCAATTTCCCCAATGCCTAGGTACTTTCCAACACGGAGAAACACCCTAGTGCTACCCAGGATGGACATTAAATCCGGTAGGACCCTCAGAGCTCTCTTTTCCACTGATGCCCAGGGAATTGCCTTTTTTTCCCCAAGCTCTCCATGGGTGTCTGTGTTGCTCCTCCATGTCCTCAGTGATGCCCCCACCCCTCCCTTCCGTCCCCTCTAGTCTGACCCCTGCTCTGCTCTCTCTGCCAGGCAAGACTAGGACGAAAGACAAGTACCGGGTGGTGTACACAGACCACCAGCGCCTGGAGCTGGAGAAGGAGTTTCACTACAGCCGCTACATCACCATCCGCCGCAAGGCCGAGCTGGCCACTGCCCTCGGGCTCACCGAACGGCAGGTCAGTGCTGCGCTGGCCCAGGAAAACCCATATCCTGGGTGGAGATGGGGCTGGGAAGGGCTGCAGCCCAAACAGGCAGCGGTGGTCCAACCTTGCTCCTTGTCAGGACAAGGGGTAATGGATTTAAACTAAAACAGAGTAGGTTTAGACTAGATATAAGGAAGAAATTCTTTACAATGAGGGTGGTAAAACACTGGAACAGGTTGCCCAGAGAGGTAGTGGAGGCCCCATCCCTGGAAACATTCAAGGACAGGTTGCATGGGGGTCTGAGCAAGCTGATCTAGTTAGCAGTGTCCCTGCTTACTGCAGGGGGGTTGGACTAGATGACCTCTAGGGGTCCCTTCCAACCCAAAACATTCTATGATTCTATGATCTCTGCCTTCTCTTCCAAACTCCAGGATGCTCCACCTGCCCCAGGGGGACCCCAAAGGTTGTCATCCTTGGCTGCATCTGCCCCCTTCTCTTCATCACTGCCTTTGTCTTTCTGCAGGTGAAAATCTGGTTTCAAAATCGGAGAGCGAAGGAGAGGAAGGTGAACAAAAAGAAGATGCAGCAGCAAAGCCAGCCCACCAGCACCACCACGCCAACCCCACCAGCTGTTGGCACGCCGGGACCCATCGGAGGCCTCTGCAGCAGCAGCGCCCCGAACCTCGTCTCCTCGTCTCCGCTGATGATCAAGGAGGAATTCATGCCTTAACCTCCTTCACCAGCTAGAGACACCAAGACATAAGCACTATGCAGCAGAGCCCAGCCGGTCCGTGTGCTCTGAAGAGTGACGGCCCCTTCCCAAAGACACGATGCTCCCCGGCCGAACCAGCAGGACGGCCAGCAAGGCTGGCAAGGGGGCACCGGCACCTTCCCAAGGGGCTGGTGAGCTCTCTCCTACGTAAAAACCATAGGTTAGGTAGTATTGCTCTCCTGTAGGAAACATGCACCAGTCTGGTCTCTGGTATTTGTAGCCCAAAGCAAGGTCCTAACGTCAGCAGGAGGAAGGGGTGGGGGTGGAGGATCGCTTTCCTATGGTGCTTCAGGTGGAGCTGGTAGGATGCTTCCTTCGGTCCTCCTGGCGACCCAGCTGCCTGGCGCTTTGGAGGCAGTTCAAACAAGACTGAATTACAAAAAAGACCTGGCTGGACTCAAGGCAAAACAAATTTACGCTGAGCTGGTCTCCTGGATCTGCTGCACCGGGAGTGGGGGTGCTGAAGGCAGAGCAAAATGGACTGTGGGAGCCAGGCAGGACCCGCAGCCACTGGACCCGAGGGGGGGACTCCTTCAAACCGTGACGATGCTGGTGAGCTGGAGCACGCTTTTGGCAAATGTCCCTGCACATCCCCACCTCCAGCCACCCCGGCAGCACCCCCAGCTCTGCTCCTGCAGCCACAAGGAGCCGCATGGGGATGTGTCTGGCAGCCCTGGTGCCCCTGGCTGTGCTATGGAAAGGCAATGCTGCAGCCATCCTCCACCTGGAGCACAAGGAGTGGAG